CTGCAAGTGTGGACGTTCTTGTGCATATGCCCTCTCTTCTTATCAGCTGGACACTTCACTCTCCACTCTAGTCCTCTGTGGCTATGTCACTGACTCTGGGTCCAAGGGTCCCCAGGTCTTGCCACACCCAGCAGGTTAATTTTTAAGTTGATAATTTTGCATGGCCCATGAATGATGTTATAAATTTTGGCTCTAGTAGCTCCAGGCTTACTTCTCCATGGCCTCAAATCCAGTGGAAAGGGAACAAGGTTCCCTCTTGGCCATTTTTGCTAAGTCCTGAGACTGTTGTGGTTGTTAAATGCTGTTGAGTCCGTTTCAACTTAAAGCGACCCTGTATAGGGTTTCTGAGGAGCAGCTGGTGAACTTAAACCACCGACCTCCAGTTCAATCCGACCTTGCAGTCCAGCGCATTAACCCACGGTGCCGCACCAGGCTCCTCCGTTTTTATCTGGTGCTGTGGGTTAATGCAATAGACCACAACATGGGTTTGAACCGCAAGGTCAGTGGTTCACATTGACCATCAGCTCCTCAGAAACCGTTTACAAGGTCACTGTGGGTCAGAACCAACTGGACTGCACTTAACAGCAACAACAAAAATCCTGACCCCAATCACAGAGACTTCAGGACTCTGATTGGCCAGGCTGAGTCACATGCTCTCATCCAGGGGTGGGACTCATTTGCTTAATCAAAGTGGAGTAGGTAATAAGCCAATTGCGCAAGGAAACCCCAGGTTCTGATTCCCGAATAAGGGAAAGAATGCTACCTGGAAGAGTAGAAGATTCATTCGTAGTTAGATGAACAAATATATGACTTCCCATAGGGCCTTGCTTCATGATAACTGTTTGCACATTTTTATTTTCTTGTCATTGAGAACTCATGAAAGCACAGGCATCATCCAACCTGAGAACATCTCTGTCTTCACACACTTGATCCACCTCCTACCAGGAGTTGACCTGTAACCTCTGACAGTGTGCTTTGTTTGACTCTGCCACAGACATCAGACTCCACAGAGAAGGTCCCCACACCACCAGAGCCGGAGCCAGCCACCATTGGTCAGAAGGGCAAGGACGGCAACTCAAAGGACAAGAAATCAGCAGCCGAGATGAACAAGCAGAAAAGCAACAAGCCCGAAGCCAAAGAGCCAGCCCCATGTGTGGAACAGGGCGCGGTGGAGGTCAGCTCTCTGCAGAGCGGGAGCAAGAGACCCGAGAAGCAAAGGCAGTCCTTCCGGGGTCTCCTGAAGGGCCTGGTAGGTGGCCTTGTTCCTCTTCTCCTTCCTGGGCTCTCAGACAAGGGGTGTGGTTCCTACCCACAAAGGGTCAGGCCGGATGGGAGGCTGGCCGACATGTGTCCAATGTTTATTGAGCAATGATTGTGTGCCAGGCACTGAACTAGACTCAGAGAGGAAGAACACCGTGGCACTGCCACCCTGGAGCCTGGAGGCAGGTGTGGAGTGATAGGGGTGTGTGTAAAAGCTAGGGAATGAGAGCCTGGACAGAGCACCTGGGTTTGAAAGGAGCTTCACGGAGGGCTTCCTGGAGGAAGTTACAGCCAAGGGGAGACTCTAGATTTGCCTGTGGAGGAGGTGAGGTCTGAAGATAGAGCATGTTCCAGGCAGTGGGAACAGCAGGTGCAAAGGTGTGATGGAGAGACAGCACGAAGTAAGAAGGGCAGCCTGGTTGGAATGGAGAGATGGGCAGAGAACTCAGAGCATCACTGATGTCTTCCTGCCGAGCTAGGAACCAGGGAGACTTCCTCGACCCAGGTCCCTAGTGCACAGAGCTGTGACCTAGGCCCTAGGCGCTTGGTACACAGGATGATTAAACAGCTCCTGGGATAAGTGGAGACCAGACATGAAACCATGAATAACTTTTGCAAGCTTTGTGTCTCCTTTGTTTATCCTTTGCCTCTTTCCCTAGACTTTTATCTTCAGGAGGCTAACGACCACATCTCTCATAGTGGTGTTGGTGGTATGCCGTCAAGTCGGTTCTGACTCACAGCAACCCTGTATAGGGTTTCTGAGGGGTGGGTGGTGGGTTTGAACCGCTGACCTTGCGATTCGCAGTCCAGTGTAAATTCTGGCAAGCAAGGAGGAAGGCCTGGAGCACCATGGCTCAGAGTAGAAGCAAAATGATGGAACATAAAAACCCACCAGGAACTCAGTCAGGCCTGTCTAGGAGCCATGAAGAGGACCAGAACGCCACATCAGCATGAGAAGAGGGTTCGGGGAGTGGGAGGGAGTCTGCCTTCAAGACGCAGTGCGAGTGACAAGTGGGGGAGTTAAGCAAAACAAACTCTCTCAACCTATAGACCCCCAACGAGATGGATTGGCCAAGTGGCTGCATCAATGGACTCCGGCGTGGCAACAGTAATGGGGTTGGCCCGGGATCGGGCAGTGTTTCATTCTGCTGTGCATAAGGTCGTTATGGGTTGGTACCAACTGGGCACCTAACAACAATTGGATCATTTATAACAACTCCATTCTCTAGCTTATCTGTAGATATTGATGACTATCCGTAGACAGTTTCGTGACTACTATGGAGACTCAAGGTGTGGCGCTGTAGGATAAGCACTGGACGACAAACCACAAGGTCAGAAGTTCAAACCCACCAGACGCTCCTCGGAAACCCTACACAGGATCGCTATGAGTTGGAACTGACTCAACGCCATGTAACCACAACAACATGGGTCCCTTAAGAAGCCTGATGGTCCCACCCACCGGCCACTCCTTGGGAGAGACCTGGTGAGCTGCGTCTAGAAAGACCTTGTGAGGTACTTCTCCTCTGTCACCTGGAGTAACTCTGAGACTGACAACAAAGGTCCCTGTGCCCGACATGTGGTCCCCAAAAAACAGCATCTCCAGGGAGCATATTAGAAACCAAATATGCATGTCAAATATGCATGATGGCAAGTCCACCGGCTGACTGTTTGCTTACCAAATTTGAGAAGCGCTATTTGCCCTACACTTTTTCTCCTGTGGAGTTGTTGTTGTTGTTGTTAGGTGCGATTGAGTTGATAGCGACCTTATGCGCTGCAGAACAAAACACTGCCCGACCCTGGGCCAACCTCACTACTGTTGCCACGCTTGAGTCCATCGATGCTGCCACTTTGCCAATCCATCTCACTGTGGGTCTTCCTCATTTTCTCTGACCCTCCACCTTACCAAACATGATATCCTTCTCCAGCAACTGGTCCCTCCTGACAATAGGCCCGAAGTGTGAGGGACAAAGTTTGGCCATCTTGGCCTCCAAGAATGGGACGATAAAAATAAGCTCCAGATCAAATGTCGTCACACACTGAGATTTTTATTAGCAAGCGAGCACTCCTTCAAAAAATATATATATTTTTTTTTTGGTTCAAACTGCAAGCTTGGTTTGAACCACAAGGTCAATGGTTCAAACTCACCAATCTCCTCGGAAAATCTACACAGTGTCGCTCTGAGGCAGAACCGACTCAAAGGCACTAGACAACAACAACAACAACGTGTCAGGTACTATTCTAAACACTCAAGAAGTGTGGTAGGCATTGTGGCTGCTTGGCCAATAACCCCTCAAATTAAAGCCACCAACATTTACGTTCTTGCCATTGCTGTGGACCAGGACTCTGAAAGTGGCTTAGCTGGGTGGGTCTAGTACAGGATCTCTCATGACATTGAAGTCATGATGCTGGCTGGGGTCCAGTCATCTGAAAGCTTGACTGGAGCTGGGGGATCTGATTCCAACATGGCTGTTGGCAGGAGACCTCAGTTCTCGGCTCCTGACCTCTCCATAGAACTGCTTGAGTATGTTCAGAACAAGGAGGTTGGGACCTGGCTTACTCTTTGTCAAGTGGGGAGTAGGACTTCCCACTTTGAAGGAATACTGAAATTAAAAGAGATACTGACTGCAAAGGCAGCTCTGAAGCATACTCACTCATAGTTTTTCTGTCCTGTGCCACATTGGTGTCCCGGTGTGGCCCTGTAGGGTAAAGCGTTAGATCACAGTCAGTTTGGTCCACAAGGTCGGTGGTTCAAATCCACCAGCCACTCCTCAGAAACCCTATAGAGGGTCGCTATGGGTCGGAACTAACTCCACAGCATTAACAATAACAACAGCACGCTACGTTAGTGTTCCTTATTAATGGACCTCTCTCGGGATGCAGCGCAGACCTCAACCTAACCAGACAGCATTTGACATGTTCTCACTGAAGTGCGGTGTTCAAATATCAGGGGGACCAAGATTGGCATTTTGTGCCTGCGGCGGTGGTTTATGTCCAAGTGTTTATTTGAGGGAAGTGCCTTCCCCCATCAGCCCAGGTGAGACTGGGTTGGGTTTACTAGCACGGACTTCTCCGAATTTACTGTGGGCCCTGAATCACTCGAGGATCTGGTTACAATGCAGATTCTGGTTAAGTAGTTTGGGGTGGGCTCTGGGATTCTGCACATCTGCCCAGCATCTAAGTGCTGGCAAGCTGCTGGCCCAAGACCACGTTTTGAGGAGTGAGTTGTTAAGAGACCAGAAAAGATGTTTGGGGAACGACTTGAGATGCTTTTCCTTTTTCCTTTTTTTCCAGCCTGTGACTTATTCTTGGAGGATCATTTGTTTAAAATTAGCAACACCCCAGGGATGATTCCCATTGTGGTTTTTAGCTATTTTTATCAAAGCCAACTTCTGCAGTGGTTGTAAGGCTAGAGAAAGACTGGGTGGAGAAGAGTTCAGATGTTCTCATCCACCAAATGTTCACTCATTTAACAAATACTCATAGAATGCCTAAGAAGCCCTGGTGGTGCTTCGGGTTAGGCGTAGGGCTGCTGATAGCAAAGTCAGCAGTTCAAACCCACCAGCTGCTCCATGGAAGAAAGATGAGGCCATTGACTCCTATAAAGATTTACAGTTCTTGGCTCCTGACCTCTCCATAGGAAACCCTATCTAGGGTCGCCATGAGTCAGCAATCTTGGCTGAAAGCAGAGAATATCAGAAAGATGTTTACCTGTGCATTATTGACTACACAAAGGCTTTTGATTGTGTGAATCATGACAAGCTATGGACAACATTGTGAAGTATGAGTATTCCGGAACACTTAATTGTGCTCATGAGGAATCTGTACATAGACCAAAAGGCAGTTGTTCAAACAGAAAAGATTTGCACCCGGTTGTATTCTTTCACCATACTTATTCAATCTGTGTGCTGAACACATAATCGGAGAAACTGGATTATAATATGAAGAAAAACGTGGCATCAGGATTAGAGGAAGTCTCATTAACAACCTGTGATATGCAGATGATACAACCTTGCTTGTTGAAAGCAAAGAGCATATAAAATGCTTACCGATGAAGATCAAAGATCACAGCCTTCGATATGGGTTGCACCTCAGCATAAAGAAAACAAAAATCCTCACCACTCAACCAATAAATAACTTCCCGATAAATGAAGAGAAGATTGAAGTTGTCAAAGACTTCATTTTGCTCTGATCAACCATCCATGCTAATGGAAGCAGCAGTCAAGAAATCAAACGACATATTACATTAGGCAAATCTGCTGCACAAGACCTTTTTAAAGTGTTGAAGAGCAAAGATGTCAGCTTGAGGACTAACGTGCGCCTGACCCAAGCCATGGTATTTTCTATAATCTCATATGCATGCGAAAGCTAAACAGTGAATACGGAAGACCGTAGAAAAACTGATGCATTTGAGTTATGGTGTTGGTGGAAAATATTAAAAGTACCGTGGACTGCCACAAACCAATGTATGTTGGAAGTAGTACAACCAGAGTGCTCCTTGGAAGCCAGGATAGCCAGACTTCATCTTGTCATTCTTTGGACATATTATCAGGAGGGATCAGTCACTGGAGAAGGCTATCATGTTTGGTAAAGTGGAGGGTTGGAGTAAAAGAGGAAGACCTCGAATGAGATGGATTGGCCCAGTAGAAGCAGTGATGAACTTAAGTGTAGCAATGATTGTGAGGTTGGCCCAGGACTGGGTAATGTGTTGTTCTGTTGTGCATAGGGTTGCTGTGAGTCAGTACGTGAAGTCAGTGTGAAGTCAGTGGCAGTTGGTTTTCGTTTTATAGAATGCCTCGCAGACACCTGCACTGAGAAGGGTCAGGGAAGTGCAATCAGAGGGCCAAAGCAGGCGCGTGACATGCTTCTGTAAATAAAGTTTTATTGGAACACAGTCCGGCTCAATGTTGAGAAACACTACTCAATCTTGCCAGGGCTGAGTAATTACTGTATGATGACAAAGGCAAAAATATGCGCTCTCTGTCCCTTTGCAGAAAATATTATTGTTAAGGGCTTTCAAGTCTGTTCTGACTCATAGCAACCCCATATAGGGTTTCTGAGAGTGGCTGATGGGCTTGAACTGCCAACTTTGCTGTTCAAACCAAGCTTGCGGTCCAGCACTCATCCCACAGCGCCACACCAGGGGCCCATACACGTCCTATTCAGTGACCAAGGGAAACAAGGCCTCTGATTTGAAGACCTTACATTCTAATGGGAAATGTGGAATTATAAATCAGATTAATTAATAAACGAAGCTATGCATGTGGAGAATGCACAGGGAACACGCCACAATTTGTCAGGAGACAGCAGGGCTTTGGATGAGTATATCTGCAGAGACAACGTCTGAACTGAGACGGAAGGAATTTAAAGGCGCCACACAAGAAGAAAGGAGCCCTGGTGGCCCAATGATTAAGTGCTCCACTGAAAAGTTGGCAGTTCAAACCCATCTAGTGGTTCCACAAGGTGTGGCATTATAGGATCAGCACTGGACTGCTAATCACAAGGTTAGCAGTTCAAACCCACCAGCCACTTCTTGGAAACCATAGACAGGGTTGTTATGAGTCGGAACCAACTCAGCAGACTTTACAACAACATCAGGTTCACCGGGAGGAAAGGCCTGGTGATCTGTGCCCATAAAGATAGCAGCCTTGGAAACCCTATGGGGCAGGTCTAGTCTGTAACACACAGGGTCGCTATGAGTCGGAATCGACCCCACTGCACAGTAAGTAGGACGAGAGCAAAGCTGTCTATCCCAGGAGGTAGGGACGGCATGTGCAAAGGCCCAGGGGTGGGAATGAGTGTATGTGTTTGAGGCAGAGAAAGGAGTTGTCAGGTGGGTCATGGAAGGAGGTCTGATTGGGGCCGTGCCCACATTGAGATATCACCCAGCACAAACCAGGAAGCTGGCAAAGGGGGTTGAGCCCTGCTTACCATTTTAAAGACGCCTTTTGCTGTTGGGGTAGAGCAATGGCTGTCACAGGGCGAGACAGAAGTGGACACCAGTGAACACACTTCAGGGTTGCCAGGGAGAGTTGATGGAGGTCTGGGCGGAATGATGAAAATGAAGAGATGGAGTCAACAGTTCAATTCCAGCTCTCTTCACGTGACTTCTCCCGTGGGTCCAGACTTGTGCATGAGCATTATCTCATAATTATTGCAACAGCCCTTAAAGGTGGGAATACTTACTCCTACTTCACAGACTTATGAGGAAGCCAGGGCGCAGAGAAGCCACCATGTTTTTATTAAAGCAGATAACATGCACATTTTATGTTATTTTTTGTCAGCCATGACCTTCTGCTCTATCCCCAAAACTAGATATTTTTAGTAAGTGCACTATCCTAATTTGTCTTTTATAGCAGCTTATCCTTTGATGCTTGTAGAGGCAGGGAGACCCTGGGTGGTTCACGGAGTCACTGAGTTAACCTGCTCAGCTGCTCACCTCAGAAGAAAGGTCTGGCAATCCACATCCCAAAATAAACCACTGGTGACACCGTGGAGTGCACGTCCACTCTGACACACATGGAGGCGCCATGCGTTGGGAATTAAGTTGATGGTCACCTGGTGTAAGAGGCAGAGGGAAGGTCAGTCCCAGTCTCCTTGACCCTTAGTCCTGAGTCTTCCCATGGTCAGGCGGAGACGGGCTGGGAGCAGAGTTTTGTTGACATTTTCCAACCATCAAACATGAAGACCCCCGAGCTGGGCCTGTCTCCCAAGATCAGGCAATCACAGCTAGCCCAGCCTAGCTTCTGGCACCAAGGAGATGAGCTACTGCTTGTCCACTGGCCGATGCCCACCAGCCTCACTCAGGGCAGGGTGAGCCCACCATTCCCACAGGGTCCTGATCCCGGATGTTCCCCTCCTCACTCAGCTCTTTTGCTCCGTCTTTCCCCTTAGAGTCTAACAAAGAGACCACTGGTATTGCGTGTCAAGCCTGAAAAGAAATTCAAGAATACCCTTAACACTCACGAAATCCATTCCTTTCACAGAGCCATGATATAGATTAGAGAGACACGAGGGGTTTCTAAAAGTTTATGGGAGAATTCTGTTGTCTTTAATTCCTTTTTTCCATGAACACTTGGAAGTCCCCACCTCCCATAGATCTACAACAAGGCTGTCAGTCTGTTGTACTGTGGTGGCTCGTGGGTTGCTATGATGCTGGAACCTAGGTCACTGGTACTTTAAATACCAGCAGGGTCACCCATGGTGGACAGCATTCAGTGGCGCTTCCAGATGAAGAGAGACTAGGAAGAAAAGACTGGTGGTCTATTTCTAAAAACTATCCAATGCAAACCTTATGGCTTAAAATAGAATATTATGTAAAATAGTGCTGGAAAAGGAGTCTCCTAGGTTAGAAGGCATTCAGCATGAGCAGAGACAAAAAAAGGGGCTCACACAAACCAACAATGACGAAGGTGAGAGAGGACAGGAAATGCTCCCTAACGTTGCATGTGAGGTCGCCAAGAGTTAGGGCTGACTCCAAAGCCAGTAGCAACAATATACCAAGAGAGGAGGCTAGATGAACTAGATATTGGGTATCGTGAAGAACAGATCACTAGACCCCATGGTCTGAAACAGGGGCACAAGAGAATTCTCTGTCTTCTTGAAAATCATGTTTTATTGTGGCTTTGTTTTTTTGTGAAAGTTTACATAGTAAAGTAGACTCCATGTGACCATCTCTACACAAGTTGCTCAGTGACGTTAGTTACATGTTTCACAATGTGTCTGTTGCGTTCTGTTTGTTCCATTTTGAGGGGCGATTGAACTGTTGAAAGTGTGGGATGTGCTGGCTATTACACGACTCTGTTAGTCAAAACACAGAAGTGCACACTAACGTTACTGTAAAAATTACACTGTGTATACAAAAAGGTTACAACAATAACAACCATAATAGTACCTAACTCATAGAGCTTATTCAACAACGCTCAGTGACTATTAAGCCCTGGTGTGGCGCTGTAAGATAAGCACTGGACTGCTAACCGCAAGGTTGGCAGTTCAAGCCCGCCAGCTGCTCTTTGGAAACCCTATACAGGGTCACTATGAGTCAGAACTGACTTGATGGCTCTTCACAAGTACAACTATATAAGGAGCCGTGGTGACATCTGATTAAAGCTAAATATTGCTAACCAGAAGGTGGTAAGTTTGAACCCACCAGCTGCTCTGTGGGAGAAAGAGGTAGCCGTCTGTTTCCATACAGATTTCAGCCTTGGAAACCCCCTGGGGCCGTTCTCCTCTCTCCTTTAGAGTTGCTCTGAGTCAGAATCAGCTCGATGGCACCGGTTTTTGTCTGTGTATTGTAACCTACCGTGTGCCAGGCATGAAGACTGCAGAAAACAGACTCCACAAAGCATAAATTCTGGTGGAGTAGCCAGATGTTAAATAAAATGACAATAAAGTCATCTCCGAGAGATGATTTGTATGAAAGTAAAATGGAATGATGTGGTTAGAGGGTGACTGGAGAGGAAATGGTTAATGTGAGCTCTAATTGAAAAGTGGGGGCTGGGGAGATCTTACTCCAGTTCAGGTATAGCACATTGCAGGTGTGAACTCACTTCATCTTTAATCTGTCCCTCTGAGATCAGTTGCATCATGTCTGAAACATGAAGGCATTAAGAATTTTCTCCAAGATTTCACCAAGCTAGAAAGTAACACAACTGGACTTGTAACTTGGGTAACTGATCATTCTTTCATCCACAGCTCAGGAATAGGATGTAGTCCTGGAATTAGGACCCGGGTCCGTTCCGATGACTTATAAATTGGTACTGATCTAAATCAAAACTTCATTTCAAATTAATAACTGATGCTTTTTTATGGTAGGGAACTCTGAATACTATCAGCTGGGTCTACAATAAAGTAACTATGTATTAACAGTGAACTTAAACTCATGACAGTTGTTCAGTTGCATGTATTTAAAATTGAATATTGCCCAACTTTCTTTTTGTTACAACTAGCAATTGCACCTCTGTGATGTAGATTTCACTCTTATGACATGATGTAGATTTCACTCTCATGACATGATGTAGATTTCACTCTTATGACATGTTGTAGATTTCACTTTTATGACATGATGTAGATTTCACTCTTATGACATGATGTAGATTTCACTCTTATGACATGATGTAGATTTCACTTTTATGACATGATGTAGATTTCACTCTCATGACTTGATATAGAGCATAATCATATTTAAAATGTTTTGATAATGTTTAACAATTGGCAGATTTTTAACATTTGAGAAATATTAGCAGTATTTTCTGAACAGCATAACATCTGAGACTGATAACATTAGCAAATGATGTGTTACAGCGTTGTATGTAGTGCATATTCTTAGTCATAAAATGGAACAGAAAACGAAAAAACGGGCAGTCCTAAGCACAGTTGGTCATGCCTCAAATACATTGTGTTTATTTAGCTCCTGACACAATTGTTAGCTGTTGTCAAGTCAAGTCTGCCTCATGATCATCCCATGTGTGCAGAATGAAACTATCTCACGAGGTCACCAAGCCTGTCTTCCAGGCACCTCTAGTGGGGCTAGAACAGCCGGCCTTTCCGTTAGTGGTAGCTAAGCACTTAACTGTTTGGGTCACTCAGAGACACCCACACCAAATAAGTAAAGGGGAGTTTCTTGCTGATGATATTACGAACCTCCAATGGGTTTGTTGTTGTTGTCAAGTGCCGTCGATTCGGTTCCAATAGGGTAGCACTTCTTTATCTCTTTCTTCAGGGATCAAAGCGGATGTTGGACGCCCAGGTGCAAACAGATCCGGTCTCCATTGGACCCATTGGCAAATCCAAGTAAACAATCCACCGTTCCCACCACGTTCTCCTGCCACCAAGATGCCTTCTCCCTCTTCAACCTCCTTCCCCTACCTGCTCCATGTATATATTTTTGATTCTCACGGCCATCCAACGAAATTCTGCCTACCCATTAAGCCTGAGCTGTTGTATGGTTAGGTGTGTTATTGCTGTTTCTGGTCCGGTCCTTCCGGGTAAATCGCTGTGAAGATGGTTCCGCAGGTTAACTAGTGGGTCAGAAGAGTTGATGGTGTCTCAGCAGGGGGAGGTAAAATGGAGAGGGACGCATTTTCCTTAAATTACTATAACTGGCAGAGGTAGTAAATTTGACTAAGTTGCAAATCAATCAGCCTGTTAGAAGGAATTAAGCTTTGTAGTATAAATACATGCTCAACCTCTGAGAATAAGATCAATTTAAGTTTGCATTTAAGAGGAGGAGGGCATGGGCTCTGTGTTGGGGAGGTTGCCAGCTTTCTGGGATGGAATATATGTCTACAACAAAGATATGTCAGATACTGTTCTTGAAGGACATGGATGAGAGGGAAACAGTGGGCTGGAGAGGGCTCGAAATGATTTTGGCAGACAATTACTTTGTGAGGCTCAGTAATCAGGGCAAGGATTACAACTTAAAAAAAAAAAAAAAATTTACATGAAGTCGCAAGTTTAGTTTTGCAACACCAGGGGGCGCCAAGGCCTCCGTTTTTGTTCCCGCGTCCTACATCACTAACAAAGATTTGGTCTCTGCAATTTTACATTATTAATGTTTCTCAGATGGCTGAGGGACTTGCTTCATCTGTTCTGTCTGACACTTATCTCAAGTCTGTCTGTAATTTCCTAATGTTCTCAGGATGTGCGCTGATAAAACCCTCCCCGTAACCCCAGTTAATAAAAAGTTACAGAAGATGATTCAAATACCTGAGGTTTGGGTTTGGGGTCCTTTTTAAAAAAAATACCTGTACAGAGGAGAAAACAGGACCATGAGTCTATAATAATGTAACTCAAAGTAGATATGATTGACTGATAGTCGTGTATACTGTACTTTTCTTTATCTGATTTAATAAAAAAATATATATATGTGTGTTTTCTTCTAAAGCATCTTTTAATTTCCACTTTTTAAGCAGGCTTCTCCTAGTCTCTGGAGAGTCCTTAACTTCCACATTATAAAACTAGTGTTCTTTGTCATTCTGTCTTCTCTCCCAAACCCTCTGGGTTTCCTTATATAGAGGCACATCCACACACATGTGCACAGTTGATGTTTATACAATCATGTGCACATCTATCAAAGTGCTGTCTTTGACTGGGTTGCTCAGTACAAAGCCTGAAACAAGGATTAGGATGTACTGAGGGAGGGCTCCCCCCAACCACCACCACCTGAGAACGGGGCAGAGAAGGAGTTAAGTGAGGGTGGGGCTCATGGGAGTCCAGCTCCATCCTGAACCCCCAGGGGTGATTCCACCTTGAATCAAGAGGGCCAGCCCTTGTACCCTCTGTTGGTAAGTCTGAGGGTTCCTTGGATGTGGGTGGAGTCCAATCTCCTGGGCAGGCTGCTCCTATTGCTCTGAGAGGAGAGAACAGCTGAGGTCACTTAGCAACCACCTCCCACATCCGCTAAGAGATGACTTCACTGTCAGTGTGCAGTACTGATCTTGTTGTTAGGTACCTTGAGTTGGTGCCGACTCACAGCAACCCTGTTCATAATAGAATGAAACACTGGCTGGTCCAGCGGCGCCAGCTTCACAGTCATTGCTGCAGATACACACTTTTGTATTCAGATACATATCTACACCCCAATTTGACATATACACACATTCATGTTTACAAATATGCATTCTATGCAGGGCCCCATATGTGCACACACACACACATGCAAGTATACATCAGAACTGACAGAGGCGTATCCTTGTAGATTAACTCCTGCAAATCTACCACAGATGCCGCCTAACATACCCGGATATGAACTACACATAGAACAAAGGGGACAGAAGTCTGTCTGTATTAGAAGCAGATTAAATGTGCCTTTGGCAAAAAGGCATTTGGAAAATATGTTCCCAAAAAACTCTCTCTAAAAACCCAGATATGAGGGGTCATTTGCTACTGGGGCCTGGTGGCTCTCAGCTCCAACTGTCTGGATTCCACATTTCACGTAGCCAAGACCAGAGGGCTTTTCCTTGCAGCTGGGGTAGCATCTTTACACCTTGTGACCAAACCTGGAGATAACACCCTTTGGGGAAGCCTCCAAAACCATGGTCGCTGCCAGGCGTGGGAAATGGAAGCTATAGCGTTTACAAACCTCACTGCCCTGAGCCTTGGGACTTTTCACCCTGAAAGGAAATGGCCCAGGCAGGATCAGGGAAAAACAGGTCTCCTCACTGAGGCAGATACAGTGTCCACAAGACTCTGATCCCTCCTCAAACCAGCAGGAAGAAAGATTTCTTTGCTAAGACTCTCTCTGCAAAGAATGCTAACCGTTTCTCGTCATCCTGGGCCAAAAATGATAATTTAAAAAAAATGAAATTGCATGTTTATTGTTTGTTAAAGCAAGAATATTTAACCTAGAGGGAATTTTTTTTTAATTGCCTATTTGTTGTTGTTAAGTGCTGTCGAGTCGGTTTCGACCCATAGCAACCGTGTATAGGGTTTCCAACGAGCAGCTGGTGAGCTTGAACCACCGACCTTGCAGTTCAAACGGCTTTGCAGTCTGGCGCTTTAACCCACGGTGCCACACCAGGACTCCAATTGCCTATTTGGACGATACTAAAAGTAGGTGTGAGTCCTGGTGTGGCGTCATAGGATATGCAGTGGACATCGAGGTCAGTTTGAACTTCAAGGTTGGTGGTTCAAACCCACCAGCCACTCCTCATAAACCCTACGCAGGGTCACTATGCATTGAGCGGGCTCAATGGCACGTAACAACGACAACAAATGCAATTGTAGTCTAAGAAGCAAAATCAAATTCTCTTTTTGACTTGAGACTCACTCCTGATACATTTGCAATAAATACTAACCTTCCTGCCTAATGCTGAACTGAAAAAGAGCAGATACCTTACACACACATACATACATGCCCACATATGCTCAGACAAACATACACACTACATATATACACACATATACTCACACACATGCCCAGGTATGCTCAGACATAATACATATTTATATGCACATGCATATGTATACACCTACACATATATATCGAGTCCTGGTGTGGCGCTGTAGGTTAATGTGCGGAACTACAAATCCATTTGACCTGTAAGGTCGGTGGTTCAAGCTCACCAGCTGCTCCTCGAAAACCCTATACAGGGTTGCTATGGGTCGGAACCAACTCGGCAGCACTTAACAACAACACACACACCTATATGTATATACACATATACCTACACACCTACACACATACTCATACAAACATGCCCACGCATGTTCAGAAATACACATGCACACATGCATGTCCACGTGTGCTTGGACATGCATATGCACACATGTATGCTCACGTGTATACACATATACACATGCATTCACATATACATGCTCACGCAGCACACATTTACACACACATGCACTCGCACGCACATATGCATGCACACATATAATACACATACCTACATAAATACGTATATGGGTGCATACATAGGCATACATGCATATACACACGTGTGTGGTACGTATACATACACATATGCCCATGCATGGGCGCATCTACACTTATACGCATATGTGATCGTGTGTGCATACACACGTGCACAAATGTGCACACATATATGCATACATGTGCATTTTGTGTGATGCATGCATACATACACCCATGCCTATACACACATACACATGCATACACACATACATAAAGTCCATCTGTACGTGCATGCAGCCATATATACATACACGTACAATACACAAATATACAATCTACATATACATTCACACACCTACACATACATGCATATACATGTGCATGCATACGCTCACATGTACACATACACACAATGCACACACATACACCCATGGGGACCAAGTTGCTTACAATCTGGAGCCCAGGAAGCAGAGAGGACATAAGCAAGGAAAGGAGGTAGAGGCCAAGCAAACCCTGCCCCCAGCCCAGCCTGGCATCACCAGGACAGGAAAGGGGAGGGGTGAAGGCCAAGGTGCCCTCCCTTCTCTTTGACTGACATGTGTATTTATTTATTTTTAGGTGCAAAGGGAAATTTGTCTTCTCGGACATCAGGAAGAAGTGGTCTTGTCTAAGAATTGAGCTAATGAGCTGAATGAAATAGAGGCCATTGCAGAAACAAACAAACAAAACTCTCCCTTTTCCAGCCGAGAGTGAGTTTTTGATGACTAATCCCTAACAGAGTTCACTCAAAAGTATGGTTGGTTCCTGTGTGGGGGTAGGCGAGGCCCCTTAGGAAAACGGCTTGGGGGAGGAGGGGGTATACCTAAGTCAATACCTGAAAGGGAAAAAGAGGAAGAAAGTTTCCTTTCGTGTTTTTGTTTTACTCCTCGGCTCTTAAACAAACTGTCAGAAGTTTAAACATACACGCCACATATACACACAACACAAACTGGATTGTCGTTGTTTGCAAACAGCCCCTGGTTCCCATGAAATTGGACGCTAGTGGGCCAGCATTCATGTCCTTATTACTTCTCAAAGTGCCTCCAGGGGACAAGATGACCACCATCTGGACCCTCCAACTGCATTTTTTTAGATCAAATACTCCCAAATTGACTTTATGCCTTAAAGAAATAAAGTTAGCTCCAAGCACCAAGAAGAAAAGGAACATAATTTCAATGACCAACTCACCCAAGTTGCCAATGCAGGGGGCACTTGAGGGGCCCCAGAGCATGCTTTGGGGAAACTTGCGATCACAGGGCTTGGTTTAGACCAAGCCTCCCCTTCAGTTCACTCAGTCAGTGAGAAGGATGTGACACCCATCTGCTGACCCCACTAACTAACTGCTAACTCACTGACCCCATTCGGAGGGGCAGAAATTACTCCCCCGGCAGCCAATTCTG